TTGGACCTAGGTCCAGGTGTATGTATGCTAGGCAAGTGCCATAGCATTGAGGGACATTTGCTTTTCAGACTGAATTGATGTGAATTCCCGATCATCAAATGGTTGTAGCCATTTTTTAGCTTTCAAACTCTATCACAGAAGAAAGAGTGTAGGGGTATAGAGGGTGACTCTCCTCCTCTCTCCTTCCCTTCCCTCCCCTCCCCTCGCGTTTGTAACTAAGTGACTTACTGAGAAGTTTATTTGGCTTATAATACCAGAGGGAGAGTTCAAGAACTGTGGGGGAGCTATGACAGCAGGCAGCCAGCATAGGAAGCCAAAGGATCACATCTTCACCCACAAGCGGAAAGCAGAGAGAGAGAGAGAAAAAAGAGGTGGGGCAAGCCTATGAGCTCTCAAAGACTGCCCCATGACGTACTTCCTATATAACTTCAAACAGCGCCACCTACTGGGGACCACGTGCTCAAAGTGAGCCAACGGGAGACATTCCATATTCAAACCACCAACTTTATTGGTGGGAAGCAATCTTCTCTGTGGCTGAGACTGACTTTACAAAGTTCCCCTCATGTTTGAACCACACACTCCTCTGCACACGGCTTTTGATGGAGTGCCACGTTTGGGATATTTGACTGAGGGAAGGAAAAGGGATGAGGTAGAATTTCCTTTTGATTAGTGGCACAAGGGTACTGGGGGTGGGGGTATAGAGGAAGATGGATGAGCTTCATTTTCCGCAAAAGGCTAGCCTGGGTGTCCAGGGAGCCTGAGAGTAGAGAGACTCCTGTGCTGGCCCAGACTGTGGTTCCTTCTAAGACAGTCACTCACGGGCCACTCTTGGGGAATGGAACCATTCACAGACAATCGGGACCGACCCTCACAGGTGCCTTTTGGAATCACACATGTGAAGACAGAAAATGGCTACCTATCGAGTAAAGAGCAGCTGAACGCTGGTGCCTGCCGGGGCTACCCTTTCACAGACGCCCACCATTCTGAAGAGAAAAGCCCGGAGATCAGCGAAATGGCTGAGTGGGTAAAAGCTTCATCGCCAGGACTGCAAGGTGGCGTAAATCCTGGTAACTCCCTCAAGCTGTCCTCTGACTCCTGGATGCATGGCTCATGCGCTCACATACAAACAAACACATTTGATTTTTCTGCAAGTTAAAAATCTTTTCTCTAAAGATGTACTTTATTTTTTAAAACAAATCCTGTGTGTGTGTGTTTGTTCCTATGTGTGGGTGCAGGTGCTCACAGTGCCCTGGAGAGGATGCTGGATGCCTTGGCTTTGGAGGGCTAGGTGGTTGTAAGCTACTGGGCGTGGGTGCTATAAACCAAAGTCTGGCCCTCTGCAAGAGCAATACATGGCTGCTAAGCCATGTCTCCAGCCTCTAACAGAAAGGGTTAAGGGGCCGTGTGAAGGAAAGTGTGGAGTCATCTCCAGTTTCCTCTTTCCTATGCTTCAGCCTCTAGTTTCCACCACATAGCCTCCATCCTTGCAAAATCTTTCTGAGTCTGGGGAGATAGTTCGATTAGTGTGAAGACCTGAGTTCATCCCAGAAGTGGGGGATGAAGACAGGCGGATCCCTAGGGCTCACTGGGCAGTCAGACTAGCTGAGTCATAGGCTCCAGGCTAATTGAGACCTTTCTCTCTCTCTCTCTCTCTCTCTCTCTCTCTCTCTCTCTCTCTCACACACACACACACACACACACACACACACACACACACACACACACACAAATGTGGATGGTACCTGAGGAGCAATGTTCAGGGTTGACCTCTGGCCTCCACATGCATGCATGCACACATGTGCACCCATAGGAACACAACCTCCCCCAATACACACAATCTTTCCAGTTCCTCTACTGCTTTCCTTCCCTCTGGCCTCTCTGGGCTTTCCTCACGACTGTCTCTTAGAGCCACTGTTACTGTATGATCCTAAAAACAGCTCCACTGAGAGATACTTCATGACTATTAACTCACTTGTCTGAAATGTATAATCCGATGGCTTAGGGCCTATTGCATTATTAAGTTTTTAAAGCTATGGTGCACTTATATAATAATTTTTTTTTCATTTTAACTGCTTTCAGTTGTACAACTCAGTGCCTGTAATTATGCTGTTACCACAAATTCCAGAACTTTAAAAAAAAATCACCCCAAACAGAAGTTCAAGTACTCATTAAGCAATAACTCCTGACCCACCTCCCTCCAGCTCTCGCTCCAGTCTACATTCTGCCCTGTGACCCGGCTGACTAAACGCCTCCCGGAAGCCGACTCATGACCCATCTGTCTGGTAAATTTCTTTTAGCACAATGTCTTCAGGGTCCACCGTGTTGCAGCATGTACCAGAGCATCTCTCCTTTTTATTGCCAAATAATACTCTGCATCTGGTCGATGGGCACATGGATCACTTCCACCTTCCGGCTGCTTCAAATAATGATACTGCAAGTATCTATTTCAGCCACTAATTTTGATTCTCCAGGGTGCATATTCCACAACCCCCCCTTTAATTCAGGACAAGATATCACTATGTACTTAAGCTGACTCAAACTTGTAATCCTCCTGCCTCAGTCTCCCGCGTGCTGGGATTGCAGGCATGCACAATTACATCCAGCTGGACCAATTGTTGATGTCTCCAGTCTGTTTGTATCCAGTTGTCACAGGATTCTTTTCCACCCCGCAGTGTTGGGGGGTATCCAACCCAGGGACTGGAACAGTCTAAGTAAATTACCACTGAGCGAACCTCTCGGCCTTATCCATAGGAACATTTCTACCAACATATGCCAGCTCACACCACTTCTCTGTTCATGACCCTTTGCCAGTTTGGCATGAAGATGCCCCTTGAGGTATGAGAAGATGATTCTGTTCATAAAGTGTCTGAGTTTGAACCCCAGAACCCACATTATAAAAAAAAATATGGCAAGGTAGGTAGCTTGCAGTCCTAGCAGGGCGACAGAGAGAAGTAGATCCTGGCGTTTGCCAGTCAGCCTTGCCTTTTTGGAGACTTCCAAGACAACGAGAGAAGAAAACAAGTGGTGGTACCGGAGGAATGGCCCCCAAGGTTGTCCTCTGGCACCCTCGTGTACGCACACAGATATACCCCACATATATACCCATTAAACACGTGCTGAGCCAGACCTTTAGAACCTGAACTGGGGCTTGCCAGAGTCTCCTCCAAGATACCATACCCCTTCTTCTCTGCCCTAGACAGCCTAGACTTTCCATCCTTCCCCGGAGCATGCTCTGTTCAGCTTTTATCCTTCGGGTCCCCTCTCTTTCTTTTTCATTTGATATTTTTGTTATTCCTTATTTAGGCATGTATGTGTATATATGCATATGAGTGAGACAGACAGAGAGATGTTGGATTCCCTGGAGCTGGAATTATAGGCAGTTGTGAGCTGCCAGATGTGGGTGCTGAAACTTGAACTCGGGTCCTCTGCAAGAACATTATGTACTCTTAACCACGGAGTCATCTCTGCAGTTCAGGTTTCTCTTTCTAAAATGTTCACCCGCCTCTAAATCCCTACGGGTTGCTAGCTCCTAGGTAGCAGACAGTTTTTCCTATCATTTCATCTATCTAGTCATAGAAAATTTCCCTAATGTCCACAATCCCCGCACCCCGGTCCTCCTAGCACTCTCTTGGGCTCTTTCAGCCCCTTGTCTTTTGTGACTGTTCACTTGGCAGGAATGGTCCAATGTCTTGTCCTCCCTGCTGTAGTGATGACTCCTATGGACTGAACACCCATTGCATGTCTCAGGCTGTTTCACACACATCTCCTGTATTTATCACAAGCTGACAATATGCAAGCGTGGCAACATGGTTCTTTCCTGTGCCAGCATCTTCACGCCCTACCAAAGAACCTGGCACACACTGATAGCCAATCTATACCTAGATGAGGGGGAAGGACTCAGAGTTAGAACACTCTTTCCCCTGTGGTCTCTGTGAGCTGAGCAACCTTACCTACTCTCCCAGCCTCAGTCAGTTTCCCCAATATAAGATGTTCATGTTTGTGGGCGCCCACAGAAGTGAATCCGGTCCACCTTGACTAAAGGTCAGAGAGTTCAGACCTATTCTCACTCCTTCAAGGTTATATACAGGAGATTTGATCCAGGGTGTGTCTATTACCAGGACGTTTTGACCTAGGGTGTGGTTACTTGATGCTTTGGGTATTGAAAAGTTAATTACTTTGTTCTTCGCGTCTTGGTAAAGAAGCCTCTTGCCTCCCTCCTCCTCTTTGGAACACAGTATATAAAGTCTATGAGGAATAAACATGAGGCGAATCTCAGTATTTCCTAGATGCCCCCCTGGCTCTATCAGTTGTCTCTAGTCTCTTTCTTAATCGTTACGCACTTCCCTTCAAGCACCGACGAATAAGCCGGGTGGTACCTACCTGATATTGTTGCCCGGACCTGGGACACGACAAATGGCCCTCAACGTGGGACTCGGACACATGTTGAACTTATGTCCCACAATCATTCAAGTTGTGCTTTTTAAAAAAATGTATTTTTAGTGTGCATGATGTGTGTGTGGTCTGTGCCACATGTGTAAGGGTGCCTGTGGAGGTCAGACTGGAGCTTGGTGTCACCTGCTAGCACTGGGGGCTGGGATCCGAACTTCTGTCCTCTGGAAGAGCAGCACGCTCTTAACTTCTGAGCCACCTCTCCAGCCCAAGGCTGTACTTTTGTTTTAACGGTCAGCCTTGCAGACTGGCTCCCTCTATACAAACACTGATCTTTAGCATTTTCTTGCCATTCTCAGGATCTCAATTCAGCCCACTTAGCCCCTGAAAGGTGTGCGGATGGCATCCTCCTTGGATCTTAGTGGTCCACCTCTGAGACCGTGCCACAGGGAGGCAGAGCGTCCTCGTGCTCTGCCAGCCTGGCTTTACACTCTGCTCTGGTAGTCAGGCGGAGCTGTAAGCCTGGCCCCGCCCTTGGGCCTCGCTATCTACGTTTCCGCGTTTCAGGCGCTGGGCGAACTTGGCAAGCCCTCCCGGCGGTGGATGGGGAACACTTTGTGCCCAGCGTCCGCCCGCTGGGCCCTCCTCCTTCCCGCCGGCGCCGCAGGGCCTGGGAGCCTGCGCTGTCCCTAGGTTTGGGGTCTTTGGAACCAGAGTACCTTGCACCTGGACAGCAGCTCTGAACTCGCACGCTTTGTTCCGTGTCGTCACTGATATCTTGATCTACGAGTGTCCAAATGTGGACATCGCGCTTAGTCAAGAGGGTCACATAGATGCCGTGGCCCATTTTAAAAACAAAGCTCAATTATAAGCGCGCAGCGGCTGTTTATTCCAGCCGAGTCTCAGATCCCCGAGGGCTGCTGTCAACTAGCACCCACAGGAAGCTCCATCCCGGGTATGGAACCGAGTGACCTGTTTGAGACCTTCAGCTCGTTCAGGTCCAAACTGCAAGAGCCGAGGCAGATCGCGGGGTGACGGGTAGTGGGTGGAGGAACGAGTCTCCCATTTGGTGTAATGGGACGTACTGAGTGCTTCGTGGCTGTACTTCAATCGCTGAAGGTGGCGGGGATAGTAATGTCTTTATCTCCGGGACTCCCATCTTCCCACGGTCCCCGATCCCGCCTGGCCAGGGCTGCACGCGATGCGCTGGCTCTAAAGTGCGTCACAGACCGCACCGGCCGTGCTGCTCCACCGGCCTGGGTGAGGTTGGCGCCTGGCCAGCACAGGCTGGGCCAGCAGCGCCTGGGCCATCACCCCGCCTAGAGACCCGGGCGTGGAAAGCGCTCAAGTTGCGCAGCACCGGGATCGTAGCCGGGGACACTCTCCGCTAGGGGCTCGGAGCCCCTGATCGGTCTCGGCAACTCTCCGGGGCACGAGGTGACACCCCCTCGGTTCTTTAGGCGCGCCGAGCTCAAGAGATTTCTTCAGGATAAACTACGCGGCGTCCTCCCCGGGCTCCTTGCCCCGCCCCGGGTCTCCGCCCCCTCCCCTTGGCTAGGGTTCCTGGACCCGGAGGCGACCGCTTAAGAAGCTCGAGCAGCCAGGACCGGGAGGCGGCTGGGGGCCGCAGAACCGCTGGCCATCAACTCTCACCGCCATGTGACACGGTCCTCCGGCCTGCTATCCCAGTGCCAGCGCCCGCTCCCTGCCGCGCTGCGCATCATGCTTCTGCCGGGACACCCGCGCCCGCCGCCCGCGCCCCAAACGGCGCAGAATCCCGGCCTCCGCAGGCAGGTAGAGCCTCCCGGGCAGCTCCTGCGTCTCTTCTACTGCACCGTCCTGGTGTGTTCCAAAGAGACCTCCGCGCTCACCGATTTCTCTGGTAAGAGCTCTCTTGCTTGCCATGAGCCTGCGTTCCCCTCGCTGTTGTCCAGGTGAGAGGTAGGCTGGGAATTGCCTCTGCAGGGGGCACGACCTGGTTGGATTAAAGTTGAAGTGTACTCCCTAAACAGTTTTCTTGCCTGGTGGGAGCCTTTGGTGTGGTGTTTAGGTTAGGTGAACCATCTCTTTCTAACGATCGACCTGTAAGATATTTAAAGTTTTTCGCAGTGCTTTTGACCTCTGTTAGTTTCCTGGACACCTGCGGTTCAGCCCTGACCTTCATGTGTTCACTAGAGGATCCCTAAATTGAGCCCTGTACCACGCCCAGCACTGGAAAGATAACCGTGTTCTGGACGAACAGTTGTGCTTGGCTGGCCACCCACACGATAAGGGTGCGTCCCAACCAGACTCCGGGGTACCCATGTAAGGAGACTAGCTCAGGACACGCTGAACCCAAAGTCCAAGCCGGTCCCTAGGGAGGGAGCCTGGGAAGATTGAAGGTCTGGTGGAGATGCCTTGAGAGACTCATAGAAGCTGACAGGGGAGAATACTCAGAGCCATGAGTTTACAGCAAATGGTGCCAGCTCTCCCCACGCCCACCACACACACACACACACACACACACACACACACACACACACACACAGAGAGAGAGAGAGAGAGAGAGAGAGAGAGAGAGAGAGAGAGAGACTGACTTCATCCTGTCAAGGCAAAGATCAATGCTTTTCTTTAGCGAATTCACCTACCCAGCCTCAGCAAAAGAGCTTGGCAAGGTGTGAGGCGGCAGGTGGCAGGTGTGGCTGTGGCGTTTAGAAGGTGACAAATGTCTTTTCATTGTAACAGCCCGAGTCTTCATTTGCTCAGTAGATTTTTCCATCACGCCCGGGATGCAGCTCTGTGCCCTTTGCTTCCCTTTCTCTTGGAACTTTCTGCCCAGCTCAGGCTGGGGACTCTAATAAGCCCCTCTCTACAAGGTTTTGTTTTGTTCTGGTTTTCGGTATAACTGTGATAAACAGAGTCACCCCTCCGTGCTGCTGCTTGACAGACTACCAAGCAAAGAATCTGGAAGAGCAGACTGGAGTTGGCTTTCTGGTTTGCTTACAGAGAATGTCATTCATTGTTAGCTGAGAGCCCTTAGGTCAGAGGTTCTTTGCCTAGAATATTTAATATCAAGGCAGTGTTCCTGCCCGGCCAAGGAAGCCAAGATATGCCTGTTTGGCGAGCAAAGCAAGGCTCTTAAAAACAAGCTGTGGAGAATCAAAACTCTGGTAAATGGGCTGGGGAAAGTCATCGGGTTTCTTTCTTTCTTTCTTTCTTTCTTTCTTTCTTTCTTTCTTTCTTTTTTTAAAGCACTATTGACTTTTTTCTGTAATAGAACTTGGCTTCCATAAAGACTCTGCATTTGCTGATTTAAGCTATGGCGAGCAGCTCTGAGCTTTTAGCCACTGTCTTGCCCCGGTTATTGTAAGGAAAGAATTAAAAACTGAACAACCGCCTCCCCCCATCTTTGGTGACATCATTACAACTGAACAAATATTGCTTTAGGCAAATTGTGACGAAACTCCTCCTCCCCACCACCAGATTATAGACTTCAGAATTTGTTTCTTGAGGGAAGCAGTTGCAATACTAACAGTGTGTGCATTATCACACAAGTCTGGAAATGAGCTGTGCCCTGCAACAACATACAGTAGATCTGAGCTACAGACAGGGAGGCGACAACCCAAGAGAAGCAAGTGCTTGTCCGAAGGTTTTTTAAGTAACGAGGTTGATGAATGACTTTTCCTGCTGTTTTCCACGAGCTCCAGGGTTTCCAAGAGTCAGCAGCAGGTGGTGGCATTGCCAGGGCAGTTACCTTTCCTCCTTGCTGTCTAGAAACACATGGTCCTGTCTTCTCAAACCATAGACACTCTCAGGTTTAAACACAAGTTCTGTATAATGTGGGATGGGAAAACATCTAGAGGGTCTTAGAGAGAAAGAGAGAGCCAAAGCTGGCCCGTTTCACTTTAAATTGAAGCAAATCCTTCAACCAGGCAATAGAAGGGGAATCCTAAGCTCCCAAGTGGACAGTTTGAGGATCCAGTCGAGAGTGTTGGCCTCACTGATTGATTTCCTGTGGCCTCAAAGGGCCCTGCTTGCTTTCCTGGGGAGAGGCAGGCCTGTTCCCTTTTATGAGTTTGGCAAGTGTGTAGAAGGGGAACAGAAATAGTGGGCTCTCCCCTGCGGAGCTCTACCACAATAGCCCGGGGCGAGGGAGCAGGTTTGACAATACAGCCACTTGTTTTCTACAGAATGAAACATCAAAAAGGTGTGGAGGAGGGAGGGGGTTCAGGACCCCCTGGTCTCGTGGAGAAGAACAGAGAAAGTGTCCATGTGAAAGAAAGTCCCATAAGGCTGTGGGCCCCTGTTAGAGGGCCCCTGTCAGTCATACAGTGCAGAACATCCTGCTGTTTGAAAACATTACTTAATGTCTACCTCCCCTTCACAGCTTTCCCAGGCTATTGCCTGAGGCTGTCAGCTGGTGTCATTTTTCCTGGGTCACTGATTCCCCCTCCTGGAGATTCTAGCATTAGATCTCTTAATAATCCAAAAGCTGCACGGTGGCCTTTCCTCCTCTCCGTGCTTGTGACTTGGGCTAATCATCCCCAATCCTGTGGGGGCCCAGGCTCCCTGATACCCTCTGAAGATTTGGGGCTTCCAGACTGTGGTGGCCACTGAAAGGCTACCGTCGCTTCATTAAAAATGTATCCCAGGACAGACAAGCTGGCTCAGGGAGTAAAGGCACTTGACACCAAACCTGACAACCTGAATTTGATATCTGGATCCTCACGGTTGAAGGAGAAGGCACACCTTTAATCCCAGCACACAGGCCAAGGCAGGCAGATCTCCGAGTTTGAGGCCAGCCTGCTCTATAGAGTGAGTCTACAGAGAAACCCTGTCTTTAAAACAAAAAAAAAAAACAAAGGAAAACCACCGACTACTCTTCCAGAGGACTCGGGCTCAGTTTCCAGCACCTACATGTTGTTACTCCGTTTCCAGGGCACCCAGGGCACACCCTTCTAGTCTCCTCAAGAGTCAGACATGCACATGGTGCAGGTACATACAAGCAGGCAAGCAATACACATATAATGTTTTAAAAAATCTTTTTAAAGCTCTTAAATTAAAAAAAATACTTCTTTAAAGAAACAGTTTGAGGGGCTAGGTCTCTAAGATTAACATTTGGTCTCTGTCCTTGGCGAATAGGCAACCGACTTCTCATCCTTCTGTGTCTGCCTGTGTCCTGATCTCTTCTGAGGCCACCAATCAGACTGAGTCAGGGCTCACACGAATGGCTTTATCTTAATCTAATCATCCATTTTAAAAAATACTCCCATTCTAATGTGAATCTAGGTGACTCAAATCCATCTGTCACACGGGTCATCTGCAACCCAACACATAGACCTGACTGGAAGTTCCATGTTCCACAGGCCAGAATTTCAGGATGTGATACAGTGGGTACTGGGGGCCAAGTCCTGGGAAGGGGACAGGGCACGCATAATTGTTCATTTTCAGGAAGCTAAATTTTACTATTTTACACCCGGACAAACAATGTGTAACCCTAGAAGTATATAGAATGACCTGGGGAACTAAATGCGTGGTGTTCGGCTGTATTCCAGGGCTTCTGATTGAAATGACCTGCAGACATCCAGGCACTGGGTTCTTCTAAGATTTCCTAGGAATCCCAAGGTGCAGTCAGTTGAGAGGCACTGTGCCAATGCTCAGAGGACAGAGCCACCTATCCTGCTCATAGATCAGCCCATCCAGAGCATGGCTGACTGGGTCCTCTTCCCCATTCGCCCAAGGTGCACCACCGGGGAACCCCGCCTGCTATTCCTCAACTGCCATCACCTCCCAATACCTACGTGCGCACACACATTTGCACAACACCCATGTCTGCATTCTATTATGCCTCAGTAATATTGGCCTTTCACCTAGGAGTCATTGTCACTTAAAAAAGTGTTAGAACGTGAAAAGCCAGCCCATGCCGGAAGGAAAACAAACTGAATGTCTAAAGTTGTCTGACTTTTGTGGAAGAAGGGAGGAAGGACGAGAGTCTCAAACTACTTGTCTGTTTCCGTGGAAAGCAGTTGAAAAATGCATCTGAAAATGTCCCGCTGGCCCCTTCTGTGGTAAAGAGATGCCTCAGCTCACAAGCACACCATTATTGATGGCTATGGTCTCCCAGGTGCTGTATTGGAAAGGGCAGCCTAGCAGCAGAGTCCCAGGGAAGAGACAGCAAGAAGGAATGGAATTAATTGAGCTCAGTGTTATTTGATTCCAGCCCTGTAGCAACCCCTGGGTGAGTATTAGTCTCATTTACAGACAAGAACTTGGCCTTGAATAGGGCAACTAATCTGCCCCAAACTTCCCAGCTGGGAGAACAAGAGCTACCGCCAACACTGAACTGGGGCTAACCTAGGGGACTTGGCCTTTGATGGTGTCAAGGAACAGGACAACAAAAATATGCCTACAATTTGCCTAGCCTTCCTAGATAGTTCCTGGGGTGACCACTGCTGTCTCCGGTGTCTACTGTGGAGACACAGCTTCTCGTCACAATAGCTGGGAAGAGGCTGAAGTTATGGGAGATACACAGTTCTGGTCATCTCTCGGCAGCTTCTGAGGAATGATTAAGGACCCCTAGGGACATCAACTGCTCCTTCCTACAAGCACATTTTGTCTAAGTATAAACTATATAGCTTCTGTTGGGGAATTTCAGGCATTACTTACCATACCTAACATAGCCAAAGTTCTATGCACGTAGTTGTTTATATTGTTAGGAGAATGGTCACAAGGCAAAAGAATCTGTACCCATGCAAACAGGCACAAGTGTGTGTGTGTGTGTGTGTGTGTGTGTGGTTTTGAGAAAGAGTCTCATGTAGCTCACCTTGCCTCAAACTCTGTAAGCTGAGGATGTCATTGAACTCCTTATGTTCTTTGCCTCCGGAGTGCCAGGATTACAAACAT